AATATTTGAACACTTGGGTATTATTATCCCCATTTTATTTATAAGAAAAAGGAGGTTAAGAGAAATGAAGTAACTTTCTCAATATCATCTAGACAGCAACTGGTAAAACCAGGATGCAAACCCAAGACTCTCTAACACTATACTTCAAATACATTATTCAATTCATAAAAATATAAGAGGCGCCATGGTTTAGTGGAAAGAAATCTGAAGACACAGAACACTTGATTTCAATTCCAGATCTTTGATGTGGATGTTACTGAACTTCTCTAAACTGTTTTTTTACCTATATTTAATGTCTTGCTGAAATAAAATATTTATTGTTCATCCTTGTTCTGGGGATAAAGATAAACATAGCCATAAAACATTGCACAAACAACCTAGACCAAAAGAACATAGAAAATTGGCATAGGGATTAAAATATTCAACGCAACCTGTAACAAATAATTATGTCTCTAAGCCTGTTTTATTATAAAATACAGGAATAATAAAACTTAGCAGGATTCTTATAAAGACCAACCAAGACATATACTTATAATACTCTGTAAATTTAAGATGTAAAAGTTATACAGATGAGGGTGTTATTACATGTCTATATATCCTTGGCTATACAGGGAGGCTATACATCTTTGAAGGCTATATGAAGAAGTCTGAATAAACCTTATGGATTTTACTTATTCTAGGCTTCTTGGTTTACTATATGGAGTCAGTGGATTAGCTCATATTATTTTGTCAGATTTCTTATGTGGATTAAGAAAGGTAATTCCTGGGGGAAGGGAGGATATGAAAAATATACACAATAGAAAACTTTAAACAAACATCAGGTTCTGATACTCAATGCCACATTTTTTTTAAAGTCTGGGAAATTAAAGTTGATATTCCTCCCTAAACACTATGCTACCAAATGTAGAGGAAACAAATCGAAATATTTTGGGTTGCTTTATTTCACCAAATATTCCTAAGAGTTTAAAAGAAATGGGGAGGTAGAGTTGGTGGACTAGGTGAATAAGGTGAAGGGACTAAGATACAAATCACTGGTAACAAAATAGTCATGGGGATGTAAAGTACAGCGTAGGGAACATAGTCATTAATACCGTAGTAACTCTGCATGGTGCCAGGTGGGTACTGGAGCTGTGGTGGGAGGGACAGACACTTTGTAAAGTGTATGACTGTCTAACCACTGTACAATACACCTGAAACTAATGTAAACTGTAATTTAGAAAATGTATCAGTTATGTTCTTATGATAGATAAAAATATTTTCCCATTTTAAATAACCAAAACTACAGTACTATTTAGTAAACAATACCAATCAAAAAGCAAAATAAGGGGAGAAGGGAAAACCTCCTCCCCTTATTAACTGATGTACTATGAAACCAGATTTCTGAGGAAGTACTGCATTCTTCTTTAGACTTAAGTTTCTTACAGCTAAGAATAATTTATTTTTTCAAATTAGGCAGTAAGTCTGGCCACCAGAAAGTCACTGGCATACAAAATGTAATAAACCTGAAATTTGAAAATGACTAGCAGAGGAAGATTCCAGTTTCAAAGAGTCTGGTAAGGAACAGAGAAAAGGAAGAAAACACAACTTTCTGTGCTGTAGAAAAACCTCTCCACCACAACTTTGTGAAAACAATTACTACACGGGAAACTAGAAGCTATTGGGAACGCCTAGCCGGATTACAAATTCGAACATACCTGGGTCTACTTCTCTGAATATTAGGTCAACCACTGAAAAAACAAACAAACAACAACGACAAAAAAACTGCAGGAAAACTGGGACGGAGGCAAGATATCAAACTCCACGTCTTTGCGGAGCCGAATCCAATCCCAGTAATCCAAAAATTATTGATGGATAAATGAGAGGAACACTGCTCTTTCCTCGTCCTGATCCTCGACACCTCCCCTGGGCAATCTAACCATCACTTTTCGGAATAATAATAGCAAGTCATTTCATTAAAAAATCTTCAGGTTCGGTGGGTCCACCTGAGGCAGGCAAGTCCCGCAGAAGAACCTGCCCCAGAGGGAGCAGGGAAGGCCGAGGCTGACCGAGAGTCTAGGGACGCTGCCCGCGGCCCTCCCCCGGCCACTCGGGCCCCCTCGAAGGCCTCGCGGGCGCAGTCCGCCTCCTGCGGCCCCCGCCCGCCCACCAGGGCCCGAGCACCACAAAGACCCCGCCCCGTAAGGCCTGGCGTCCTTCGGCGTGCGGGGCCCGTCTGGGACTCAGTCTCACCTTCCGCGTCTGCAGAGGAGACAAAGGTGAAGTCCCCATTAGTGGGGGAATACGCCGGGGGCGGGCCCGGCGGCTGCATCTCGCTGCCGCTCGGGGCCGGCGGTGGTGGAGGAGGCTGAGGCTGGGCCCGGGCCCCAAGGTGGCCGCAGCGCGGACCCGCAGTCGCGCCTTACGGTGCAGCCGGAGACGCGGGAGGAGCGCGCTGCTGCGGGGCCCGCGACGAGCGCAGCAGGCTGCCAGCTGCCCCTGACACAGCCCCACCAAAGTCCCCTCGTAGGCGGCCAGCACCGCGACGCCGGCGCCCTGACAGGACCATAACAGTGACAGCACCACACGGATTGGCTCTTTGTAATGTGCTCTCCCATTGGCCCCTGAAGAAATGTCCTGATTGGGTTGCCCTGTTGTTGATCCCGGAAGTTTACCCAGAACCGGAAGTTCACTTCTAATGCGTGGACTACTCCACCTTCTCCGCCCTGTTGGCTTTTTTTTTTTTTGGTGTGTGTGTGTCTCATCTATTCTGTCTTTTCTTTTATCTAGTTCCTCGGTTGTCGTTAACTGGGTGGCTTAAAGAATTTTAGAACTAGGAACGTTTCTAGGGGTCAGCCCCAATTGAGGATCCCAAGATTTTGTTAGGGGAGGGACAAATGCCACAAGTGAAAATGCCACGAAATTTAGTGAGATACCGCTAAAGATTCCTTAGAATAACTACATTAAAAAAACCTGATAAATACATTTACTATAGTAATATGTTAACAGGGAAAGTAGATGTAGGTGTATATGAGAACTCTGTATTATCTTGACAATTTTTCTGTAAATCTGAAACTGCTCTAAGAAATAAAGTTTATTTTAAAAAACTGATAATGCCAAACATTGACAAGGATGTGGACCAACTAGAACTAACACACAAAGACAACTATTCGATAATATTTTAAAATAAAGTTAAACCTTTAATAATCATGTGAGTCATCATTCAAATTCTAAGTAATATACCTAATGAAAACTTATGTCTATACAAAGACTTGTACAGAAATGTTTATAGCAGTTTTATGCATAACAGTCAGAAACTAGAACAGTCAAAAACCAAACGTCTATAAACAGATTAATGGATAATTGGATAAATACAATGTAATGCATATATACATTGTGACATATGTGGTACTGAGTGGGCCAATAAGTTCGTTTAGTTTTTTTCCATGTAATGCCTCTACAAGTGCTTAGTTGTCTTTAACTTCATTAGGAATAATTTTGTTAGAATGTATTTTGACAGGTGTCATGTCAGCGTGCACTTAAAAGACTTTATCAAAACTGGTGAATTTTTGTGCAGCCATTTTAATATTAAAGATGAAAGAAGATACGCAACATTTTTGGTGTATTTATGCTATATTATTTCAAGAAAGGTAAAAATGCAACAAAAAAAGATTTGTGCAGCATATGAAGAAGGTGCTGTGACTGATCAAGTGTGTCAAAAGTGGTTTGCAAAGTTTCTTGGTACTACTGACATTTTGTTCAAATAATTCTTTGCTGTGGGGCTGTCTTATTCATTGGAAGATGTTTAGCAGCAGCCCTGGCCTCTACCCAGCAGCAATCAATAGCAGGAGACAGCCAACATACTCAAAATATCCAAATCAATAAAGTTTTTGGTGAAAATGAAAAATGTGTCTTTTAGGGAAAAAACTAAATGAACTTTATGGCCAATTCAATACTTAATTGTACCTAATACATACCATGGGATAACAATAAAAAGGAATGAACTAATGATATATACAAAAACATGAATGAATATCAAAAACCTTAATGCCAAGTGATAGAAGACAGACACAGAAGAATATATACTTTATGATCCCATTCATAAGAAATTCTAAACCAGATACATTCTAATCTACAGTGACAAAAAGTAGATCAGTGGCTGTCTGTGACAAGAGATGATGGACAGGGAAACTGCCTACAGATAGATCTGAGGGAATGTTTTAGGGCCTTGGAAATGTTCTGTATTATGTTTGGAGTGTTCTTTAGCAAACTTATCCAACTATACAACTTTAAATAGGTGTATTTTCATATATATACACTATAATTCAATAAAGTTAATTTACAGAGAAGAGGCAAAAATTTCAACAGGCAGTTTACACAGTGAAAACTCAGAATCACCAGGGCATGTGTGATTGCATTTAGGGCTCACCCTAAAAATTCAGAATTACCTGCCCATCTCAAGATCCTTAATATAACCACATCTACAAAAATACAATATTTACAGTTTGTGGAGACTAAGACCTGATATAGTTGTATAGTTGCATGGCCCACTACAACTACATTTCTACATTTTCCACTTTTATCCTGTATTACATCATTTGTTATTACAACAGTAATAGATGTTTGTGACAGAAAATTAGAATTTACAGGTAAGCGATAGAAGAAAATAAAATTACCCATAATCCTACCCCCTGAGATAAGCACAGTGAATATTTTGGTACCCAGCTTCCCAGTTTTTTCTCTGTGAACATACATTTACATACAGGTCCCACAAAGTTTTAAAAATCCACCTGACAGCACAGCCCTTGATTCCACTTCTCAGAAGTGCAGCTCACAAGTTGGGAAACACTGCTATAGTTCCCATAGAAAACATAAAATGTAGAAATTTGTTTAGAGAAAAACTTAGATGTCCCTTTATGTCAGATAGGTTAATGTCAGAATGCTCTTTTTGAATCAGGAAGTTAAGTAACATTAAAAAGTTGATGGTCAGTTGCATAACGATAGGGGAAATTACACAAAAATGTCATTCTCTCACCCAGGGGTGTGAATCCATGACCTGTGGGCAGCACGCAACCCAGGATGGCTATAAATGCAGCCGGACACAAAATCGTAAATTTACTGGAAAGTTTTTGTGCTCATAGGTTTTTGTTAGTGTTTGTGTATTTAATGTGTGGCCCAAGACAACTCCTCTTCTTTCTGTGTGGCCCAGAGATGCCCGAAGGTCTGACACACCCTGCTAAAGAAATGCCAGGAGATTTCTCCATTTCCAAACCTTAAGGCAAACTGGCTTCCTGGAGTTTGTGACTACAAGCTTTGACTGTGTTTGAACAGTGGGAGCCTGTGGCTCTTTATGTTCAGGAGAATGGCCTGTGCATTGACAGTGGAGCGAACTGACAGCAGTGATCCATTTGCTCTGTGCTAACCTTGCCCAGGACCCTGGTGGCAGAGAGTATGCATTTGCCGGAAGTCTTCTGTGATCCAAAGTACAGACGGTAAGCATGGCTTTGACTGCAATAGCAATGTGCTTTAGCCAACCAAAACCAGCTCGTTTTCTCTGTCTGTCTGTCTGTCTCTGTCTCTCTCTCTCTACCATAACAATGAATGCAAATTAAATGTTCAAAGCACTGTGCTTCATTTTAAGCTGTGGAATAAATAAGCCAGTACCAATAGGATTTATATGTCATGAACAAATGAGTAACTGATTCCTTTTCTAATTTATTTTAGCTCTTGCATCTTTAAGTCTCAGGTTTCACTTCTTTGGTTACTTCCACTTACAGTCATCTCCCCTTTCTGAACAGTAGTACTTGTTTCTAAATCATTCTTACTATGTATGCTTTGGGGGGGAAGAGAGAAAGAGAGAACGAACTTGACAGTGTTTGCCTTTGCACTCTCTGGCCCGAGAACATGGAGACCCCAAATCCACAGGACACGGGCCCTCACAAATGAAGCAGAAAGCATATAAAAAGAAACTTCATTTTAAAGGCATCTACTTCACCAAGAACAGGGCAACTGGATTGTTCAGCCAGGTACAATGGGGAGAGAAAATTGGATTTTAAATGGGTTTTGGAACCAAATACTAAAATTTGGGTTTACACTTATTTAAAGCTTGTGTCTGGGGGTATAAACGTCTTAATACTGAAGACTGTGGTTTTGCATGGCTGGATTTGCCTGCAGGAAAACTTTTATGGGTGGTTAGTCTGGCCTGGTGGGCTTTCATGAGGTTGCTTGGAATTGATGTGTAAATATACAGTAAGTCAGAAGGGTGCATTTATGTTTACTATGAGGCAAAGTGAGGGAAAGAGCTTGGAAAATACTTTTTGGGCTTATAGGAAGGAAACCTACTTTTGTTTCTAAAACTGTTGTTAGAATCACAGAAAGAGAACTAAGACCTAGGGGTACTACTCAGGTCATCCAATCACACAAGGAGTTTTAAAACATGCAGTACGTGACTATTTAGTCAGGGGCACCGACCTCTTTTCCCTTAGGTTAAATTAAAAAAATAACAACAGCCAACACAACAATAGCCATCCGGTCGGTGTAAATGTCCTGTTTTGAACCACAAATATATAGGTCATATAACAGAGTTGCATCTTAGTCATCACGTCACATAATAACTTTGCATCTGATTGGTTAACTCTTGGTACCAGAAATCCTTATATATAAGCACAGGCATCTGACTTTTTTAAAAAGTCATTTTGGAGCAAAAAAGGTAGGTAATTACTATTATTACTTTCTGTAAATCAATCAAAATTACACCTACTGTTTCAGATTGTTAAGAAATATATTTCTTGGCATGCTGCAGAATTTTAGTAATTAGCTTTATGTGTGCCATGAGATAAAAAAGGTTGGAAATCACCGATCTGGAGAGAAACGAAGGAACCCACTGTTATAGGGCACCGATTGTTAATAGAGTTTTTACATACCTTATCTCAATCCTTACACCCTAGTTAAATGACTGGAAGATCTGGTGAAGAGAGGTTCACCAACATGCTTCAGGTCTACAGGAGTAGATTGTAATTGGTCTCCTGTTCTCTTAATAGTTCAGCGCACTTCTATAATCCCAGTTGTATTAGTCTGCTCAGGCTGCCATAACAAAATGCTACAGACTGGTGATCAAAGTGCCGACAGGTTTGATTTCTCCCAAGGCCTCTGTCCTTGGCTTGCAGGTGTCTGCCTTTGCAGTGTTTCTCCTCTGAACTTGCACCTCTGTGGTCTCTGTGCGTACAAATCTCATGTTCTTGTTAAGGACAGCAGTCACATTGCTTGAGGGCTCACCCTAGAAGCCTCATTTTAACCTACTTACCTCCTCGAGGTCTTATCTCCACATACAGCTCTGTCCCGAGAGAGTTAAGGCTTTAGCAGATTTGGGGAAACCACAGTTCCACCCCCAACACTAATATTAACAATAATATGTGAGATTTCTGGAGACTGTTGAAAATCTAAGAACATTCTGGTCTAGAGGCTTTTTACTAAAAAGGAATGTAGATAGCACCGGCTGACTCTCTGCATCCCAACCACTTTCCCATTTAACCCTCACAACTTGAGTCTGAGGAGAGGGGTGTTGTCAGTGTCTCAGAGAAAGAAAGTAAGACTATGTAAGGGAAGGGTACCCATTTAATCAACTGCAGAGTGAGGACTTGAATTCAGGACTGTAACGTCAAAGCTCAGACACACTTCTGTGCACTGCCTCTCTATGCCTTTCCCCTCATTTCATCCGTAAGTGGTGGGAAGAATCCACAGAGGTGGGTTATGTAGCTCCTGAGAAGCCTCGGTTCTCTGAGGAGCACATGTAAATGTTTGGAATGAAATGTCCACATTTAGAATTATTATAGTTCTGAATATTATTTTCCATAGTACAAGTGTAGGAAAGGGTCTTCTTCCTTGCAATTCAGTTATTCAGTGAACAGCTTGGTTAAGGGGTGAGGTGTTCAGAGCCACAGCCATGATCCAGGGCAGCAAACTCGGCACAGCCCTGTCCTTTGCACCAGTGAGGAACTGAGAGTGAACTACATTCAGACTATGCGTTGATTCTATTCTCAAAAACAATGAATAACTACTTAATTGTTTTTGACTTAGTTCTTTGACCTGGTCACAGACTTTCTGTGAGTAGGAAAAATACTACCTGTAGCCACAATGACTATGAATGTTTAGCATTTCCAGAATTGGCTGCGATTCCTGCCTAATGGTACAAGTAGCGATTTTAATTGATTATTTTAGTGGACAATGTGTCTTCGTAGCCAACTCCGGGACTACTGCATTCTGTTCACAAGTGAATATGAGGAACTTACATCCTTCCCCTATCTTCTTCTTCTTTTCTCTGTTCTCTCTTAAACTCTGACCCAGTCAGTGGAGCAGTGGTTCCTCTTACACACTCCTTTTTAGAGGAAGTAGAAAGGAAAGAAAAAAATCCTATAGGACGCACTATCTACTGAGTACTTTCTGTGTATGAGGCAAAGAGTCTCAGCTTGTCAGTGACAGAGCTGGTGTTTGAACTCAATCCTGACACCAGAGCAGGCTGTTGCTTACACTCATGCGCTGTCCTGATCTTGGTTTTCAAGCTCCTTCCCCTTTCCTGTGTTGCTTCCTCTGCTTAGAAACAGGGTTTCCACCTTACTGCCCGGCAAGCTTTGATTTCCTCCAAGAACAACACAAAAGTCACTTCTGCCAAGCAGAATTAAATATTCCTCCCCTGGGGTTACCCTAGAACATTTACCTTCAAACTCTTATTGACCTCAACTCACAATAAAAAATACATTTTATCCCTGGCCCGGTAGCCCAGTTGGTTAGACATTATCCCCATTCGCCAAAGTTGAGGGTGCCATCCCTGGTCAGGACACATACAGTAGACAACCAATGAATGCATGGATAAATGGAACCACGAATAGACATTCATCTCTCTCTCTCTCTCCCCCGCTCCCTCTCTCTCTCTCTCTTTTTCTAAAATCAATAAATAAAAAAAGAAGAGAAAAGAAAAAAAACCGTAGGTTGACTATTATGTATAGTGTGTCCTTACTGTGTGTGGAAACAAATAAAAAAGAATTAGTATGAAAGTGCCCGTGGTTGCTGCCTGATAGTTTCTGGTTCTGTTTGTCAGTTTTACAGAAAGAAGAAGCCAATATTGGGATCATCTTCGACTTGTCCATTTGGAGATAATACCATCTACTCAGCTGTAGAAGGGTGGAAAGCTTTTATTCGGAACAAGTAAGTGTGCTAGAAAAATCTGGTTTATTGCATGCTACCAAATATTTATGATACTGAATAGAAAATCAATTCATACATTTCCCTGACCAGTTATATGTAGAATTCCCAAAAAATATTTGTGTCATTTTGAGAATTCAGTTATAAACATGACAGCCTATGATAAAAGGCAAAACCACAAGTAGGATAGGACTTACACAAAGAGCTATGAAGTGTCTGTTTTAAAATGTTGGTCCCCTGCTATCACCTATTAGCCACATCCTCCCAGCCAGACAGCAGAGAGCTCTACCTGCCAAGTGCAATGTGAAGCAACATGGTGTAATCTAAATGGTAACCAAAATGTAACTCTTTGATTACTGGGTATAGACCTGTGTTGTCCAATGTAGTGTCCACTAGCCGTGTGTCTATTAAAATATAAAAATTTTAAAGATTTTATTTATTTATTTACAGATAAGGGAAAGGAAAGAGAGGGAGAGAAACATCAATGTGTGGTTGCCGCTCAAGCGCCTCCTATAAGGGACCTGGCCTGCAACCCAGGCATGTGCTCTGATAGGGAATCGAATCAGTGACCCTTTGGTTTGCAGGTTGACATTCAATCTACTGGGCCACACCAGCCAGGGTAAAACATGGATTTAAATAAAAATTAAATAACATTTAAAATTCAGTCACACAGGCACACTAGCCACATTTTAAGTGTTCAGTAAGCCATGTGTGTATAATGCCTACTCTATTGGATGGAGAAATATAGAGCATGTTTATCATCTCAGAAAATTCTACTGTACAGTGCTGGTATAGACAAAGAGATATTCTGATTTGAACAAATAATGAATGAAAGAAAGAATGAGTGAATAAACCAGCAGCATTGTGTTCACCTAACTACTTGATAAGAGAGGAATATGATAGTTCACACACGGGGAGATACACCATGGTTAGTAATAAGAGCATCTTACAGTTATATAGCAGTACACTTTTCACATTTTAAAACATTCAATATTTTTCATGAGCCTTTTTTAAAAAGATTTTATTTACTTATCTTTAGAGGGGAAGGGAAGGAGAGAGGGAGAGAAATATCAATGTATGGTTCCCTCTTGTGCGTCCCTGGCTGGGGACTGGCCTGCAACCCAGGCATGTGTCCTGACTGGGAATCAAACCATGGTTGTTTGGTTTGCAGGCCTGCGCTCAATCCACTGAGCTACACCAGCCAGCCAGGGCTTCATGAGCCTTTTATATAGTAAATTCAATGTCTTAATTTATAGCTGAAGAAAGGTAGCCTCAAAAAGGCTAGTCTTGTAACCTTGTGGAGGTCTCTAGGCCTTCCTGAGGTGACATTTCTTCAGCTGTAAAATGAAGATTGTGACTAGATCCAGACTTAGAAGTCATTCCTGTACAAAGGATGAGAGCTCGGAGGGAGAGGGATGAGACTCACTGACAGGATGTAGACAGAGATGTGATCCTAACATTCCCGCCAGGGTCTGTAGGAGAGATTTGGACAGAGAGAGAGGCAAGCTGGGGCGTGATCTTCAGGGTCAGAGTGCCTGATGGTGCATTTTAGACCAGAGAGGAGCCCTGGCTGGTGTGGCAGTGGATTGAGTGCTGCCCTGCGAACCAGAGAGGCCTCAGGTCCTTCGGGAGGAGCATATTCACTTGGATGAGTCAAGAAAGATTTGAAAACCAGGAGCGGCCTATCTCAGGGAGAAAACTAGTGCAGATAGTGTCTCAGAGTGGAAAGCCAGCAGAAATTCCACTGAGCCGTCACAGACTCCCTGGCTACAGTGTGGTCGAGTTTGAGAGGTAGAACTTGGAGAGCCAGACCCTGAAATGCCATAGCTTCCCCAGGCACTGCAAGAGGTGAAAGTACTTGAAGTGCATACAGACAACTGTTTTGCAGCGCTCCTCTTCAGAAAATACCAAATTCTATGGGAAATAAAATATGCTATTCTTGCCTTGGCTGGTGTGGCTCAGTGGATCGAGGGCCATTCTGCAATCTGAAAGGTCACCAGCTCAATTCCCAGTCAGGGCACATGCCTGGGTTGCAGGCTGGGTCCCCAGTTGGGATATGTGAGAGGCAACCAATCACTGTATCTCTACACATCGATCTTTCTCCTTCCCTTCCCCACTCTCCAAAAGCAAGTAAATAAAAAAAAAATGCTACTTTTTTGAGTGGTGACAGCTGGATAATGCCTGCAAATAGTGGCTAATATGTCTTCAGCTATTACTTTGTATGAGATACCACACATGAATTCTCACAACTTCGTAAGTTAAATAACTGTTCTCAACACCACGGTACAGGTAAGGAACCAGTGCTGTACTGGAGCTGGTTCCTACTGTTTTGTGAGATGTCAGTGTTGAATTTTCATGACTTTTGCTACCCAGTTGACATACATGATTAGCTTGAAATCAGCCATGGTGAGAACATTTATAACATGGGGGCTTGTAAGTGCTACGGATTAGGGCCTTTACCCCTAGAGGACCAGTGGGTGCCACATTTAGCAGCACGGTTCTGAAGTAGCCTCAAAGAGGCTTAGCAACTTGCCGAGGTTACACAGATGGTACCAACAGGCGGATCCTAGGCCAGTCTCATTACTCTAAAGCCCACTGAGACTTCACTGTGGACCTGCTGGTACTGGGGAATAAGATTGCTCACCTTACTTCATTACCAAAGAAAAACCATCTTGCTCACCAAGGGGCTAGGAATAAGGGGCTTTGCAGAGCTTTTCCTGAAGGCCTGAAATTCAAGAATCTGCCATCTCTGTAACTCAAGATGGCCTTAGAGGAAAAATTTGTGACCCTAACGCTCTGGAAACACAACACTCATATTTTATATATGTGAATAAATATGTATATATTTCCACATCTCCTCAGTGAATTTCATTAAGGAGAACAGCCAAGCTCTCATTCAAAGGATGGGAATGACTGTTATAAAGCAAGTTGTAGATGAGCTCTTTGTGTGGAATGTTCTGAATTTTGAAGAAGTAAACGTCATTTGCTGCAAGAAGGTCGAGCAGGACGCTGCAAGAGGGATCATTCACATGATTCTGAAGAAGGGCTCAGAAGCCTGTAACCTCTTTCTGAAATCCCTTGAAAGGTGGAACTATCCTCTGTTTCAGGACTTGAATGGACAAAGTAAGTATCGATTTGTTCGTATCTATTCCGCAAATAGACAGAACCATGATGAAGGTCCATGACACTCAGGACAGAGCCGACGCTCTCCTCCCTCCCATATCACTGGGAGGTGGACTTTGTCCTGGTCCAGAAAAGCTCAGGCGTTCTCAGAAGAAAACTCCCATTCGATGGCTTGATGGTGAAGCCAATAGGTAACTCCAGGATCAGGGACTAGATGGTTTAGATTAGCCTCACCTCGGAGTCAAACTGGACAATGAAGGCACCTAACAAGTCCATGCAGTAGTGGTCCCTAACATTCCTTAGTCTGATGAGGGGCCCAGCTGACGGCCTAGTCCATGATCCAAGCACTGTGGTAAAGAGAGGCTGACTGACTACAGACCCATGATTCTGCTTTTCATGAAATACTCATTTAGCTGTTATTTCTTTACACTGGTCAATTATTTCATGACAGAATTTAATCAAAGTTAGGGCTTGATCTGCTGAGAGTCACCCCTAACCATCATTCTCAGCCATCTCCCCATTATTCTCATGTACTTGTCTTAACCAACACACAGGCTCCTCCCATTCCCAATCAGCCGCTACAAGATTGGGTGGTGGAAAGGAAGAAACAGAGGCAAAGGGGGAGGAAGGGGAAAGGGTGACAGGGGAAAGCAGGAGTAAATATTTGGAACCCCCTGTATTAGCGAGAACTGGGGAAGGAGATTAACATCACCAATGGGAGATTCTCAGCACCACTCCCTCTTCATTGCTCTGAACTCTAGGTTCTGGGAAAACACAGAATGGGGTCCTCTTTAACCTCTCCTCTTCCCTAACAGGCCTTTTTCATCAGATGTCAGAAGAAGACTTAGATGATTTGGCTGAGAATTTAAAAGATTTATACTACTCCCCGTCTTTTCTGAATTTCTATCCCCTGGGCGAAGATATTGACATTATTTTTAATTTAAAAAGAACCTTCACAGAACCTGTTTTGTGGAGGAAGGACCAACACCATCACCGTCTGGAGCAGCTGACCCTGTGTGGTCTGCTGGACACTCTGCAGAGCCCCTGCATTGTTGAAGGGGAATCAGGCAAAGGGAAGTCCACACTGCTACAGCGAATCGCCATGCTTTGGGCCTCTGGAGAGTGCAGGGCTCTTACCAAGTTCAAATTAGTCTTCTTTGTCCATCTGAGCAGGGCCCAGGGTGGGCTCTTTGAAACCCTGTGTGATCAGCTCTTGGATATACCTGACACAATCAGAAAGCAGACTTTCATGGCCATGCTGCTGAAGCTGCGCCAGAGGGTTCTTTTCCTCCTTGATGGCTACAATGAATTCAAGGCCCAGAACTGCCCTGAAATTGAAGCTCTGATAAAGGAAAACCACCGCTTCAAGAATATGGTTGTGGTCACCACCACCACTGAGTGCCTGAGGCACATCAGGCAGTTTGGTGCCCTGATTGCAGAGGTGGGGGACATGACGGTGGCGAGTGCCCAGGCTCTCATCCGGGAGGTGCTGATAACGGAGCTTGCGGAAGGCTTGGTGCTCCAGATTCAGAAATCCAGGTGCTTGAGGAATTTGATGAAGACTCCGCTCTTTGTGGTCATCGCTTGTGTAATCCAGATGGGGGAAAGTGAGTTCCACTCTCACACACAAACAACGCTGTTCTGTACCTTCTATGACCTGCTGATACATAAAAACAGGCACAAGTGCAAAGGGGTTGCTGCGAATGACTTCACTCGGAGCCTGGACCACTGTGGAGACCTAGCTCTGGAGGGCGTGTTCAACCACAGGTTTGATTTTGAACCGAAGGATGTCTCCAGTGTTAATGAGGATGTCCTACTGACAACTGGACTCCTCTGCAAATACACAGCTCAACGGTTCAAGCCAATTTATAAATTCTTTCATAAATCATTCCAGGAGTACGTAGCAGGACGCAGACTCAGCAGCTTATTGGTGTCTCAGGAGCCAGAGGAGGTGACCAAGGGGAACAGTCATTTGCAGAAAATGGTTTACATTTCAGACATTACATCCAAGTATAGCAACCTGCTCCTGTACACATGTGGCTCATCTGCTGAGGCCACCAGGACTGTTCTGAAACACCTTGCAGCTGTACACCAACATGGCAGCCTCCTTGGGCTCTCCGTCACCAAGAGGCCTCTCTGGAGGCAGGAATCTATGCAAAATGTGAAAAACACTACTGTGCAAGAAATTCGGAAAGCCATAAATGTCAATTCCTTTACAGAGTGTGGCATCAATTTATTTCATGAGAGTATATCCAAATCAGACCTGAGTGAAGAATTTGAAGCTTTCTTTCATGGTAAAAGCTTATATATCAACTCAGAGAACATCCCTGATTACTTATTTGACTTCTTTGAACACTTGCCTAATTGTGCAAGTGCTCTGGACTTCATTAAACTGGATTTCTATGGGGGAGCCATGACTTTGTGGGACAAGACCACAGAGGACATGAGCGGGACCCACAAGGAAGAGTCCTCTGGAACCTACATTCCCAGAAGGGCTGTGTCTTTGTTCTTCAACTGGAAGCAGGAGTTCAAGACTCTGGAGGTCACACTCCGGGATTTCAGCAAGTTAAATCAGCAAGATATCAAGTATCTGGGGAAAATATTCAGTTCTGCTACAAGCCTCACACTGTCCATTAAGAGATGTGCAGGCATGGCTGGAAACCTCAGTTCGGTCCTCAGAACCTGTAAGAACATTCGCTCCCTTGCAGTGGAGGCCAGTCCCCTCACCCTGGAAGATGAGCAGCACATCACTTCAGTGACCAGCCTGAAAACCTTGAGTATTCACAACCTACAGATGCAACGGCTGCCAGGTATTGTAAACATCAGTGACTGGAGCTGTAATGGGACCTGGCTAAGTACCGTGAAATATTAGAGATCACATAGTTTTGCTTTAAATTTCCTAGTAGTTTCTACGAGGTGTCAGGAATTGAGAGGGAGGAGAGAGGGCTGGAGGGGGACCCATGTGGGGGGAAGGCTGTCAGATTGGGAGGCCCTAGAGAGGATTTCCAGAGCTGAAACTATGTGGTTTGATTGAATAGCTATATCGTTTATATAGTACAGTGTGTGTCTGTGTGTGTGTATATGTGTTTCACACCCTCACAGCTATAAACCTACTTTCACCCCACCCTGTATAGTGGTCGGGCTCACCTGTGGCAAACTCTTCCCTCTTTCAGCATCTCCATCTCCACCCAGCATCCACTGCTTCCCTGCCAGTGGCTCCCCTTCCCCTGTCAAGTCTGGGAGGAAATCCAGTCTGTAACTGATCAACTGCAGGAGCTAGTGGCTAATTGTGTTATGAGATCCTCATGTAGGAAATTGCACAACAGATGTAGCCACATCCCCACCCCAAGTACTGTTCATTTTGAAAAAGGATTTTGGGAACAGATTTTGTTTAACATGTCAGACTTCAGGCCTGTACATGCAGGGACAGTCATTTTGGGTAAAGGGGAGTTTTCCCCTAATTCAAAAGAACACTGAAGATGAGCGTCTGCTCTACCTGTGTGGATCGTCCTGGGTCCCAAGAGCAGGAGCTGCTGTGTGGTGTGCAGCTGTGGCTGGCAGGAGCCTCACCCTTCTTGACTGTAATCTAAGATTATTTTTCATTCACAAGTGATTTCCCATTGTGCTCTGCCATACTTGTCACCCACAGAAGACATTTTCTGTGACTAAGAATCTAGAATCTTTTGTACAGATAATTTTTGCAACCTCCTACTCAGTGGAGGAATCCCTTCATGAGATTTTAGAGAGTCACCCAGATGTTATTAGACTACCTTCTGCGTCAGGAAGCTCACACTCTCCTCTTGATGGCTTATGCCTTCATAATGATCATGCATACTAGTCACCTATGTGCTGAATTGGCCTGCACAGGGTTTAGAATTTTCTTTTTAATGTTTTCTAATATTTTGTTCTTAATTTTTAAAAATTTATTTTTTGAGTAATATGTTTACATGGTCCAAATTATAAAACAATCTACAGTGAAAAGTGTCCTTCCCCTCCCATCTGCGATCCATGACTTTTCTTCCTGAAGCGGTTGTTGCCAGCTTTTTGAAATTAGGAGGTATTGTGTGAAAATACAAGTTCTTCACTTCTCTTAAAAATTGTCGATTTGACAGGTGAGGGCCCAGGTCCCCACTTGGTAACTGTTTGTTAGAGCCTCGTGATCTGCTCCAGTGCTCTTTGGAGAAGACACAGAATCTCCAGTTAGGCACGGAGCCCACCTGCTGTACTTCTTATAACGATGTTATCTCCATGGCCCTTTTTGACATTGGAGTTTATAATCAATGCTTATTCTTTCTTATGGCTAAAATCCACTTTCCTGTCATTTATATCCAAGGATGGCTTTACTCTTGTTCTTCATGTCTCTTTAGAATCCTCCTAGTTCATCCCTTTTTATTTCTGAATAGTATTCCATTGTGTGGATGTACCACAGTTTATCCAATCACCATGTAGGCTATTTCTAGTTTGGGCAATTATCGATGGAGCTACTATAAACATTCTTATGCAGGTTTTTGTGTGAAAATAAACTTTCAGTTAACTTGGGGTTGCTGAGCTATATGACAAATGCTTGTTTAACTTTCAGAGAAATTTGCCAACTATTTTCCAGCTTTCCATTTTACATTTCCAGTAGCAATATATGAGAGCTTTAGTTGCTTTGCATTTTCATTAGCACTTGGTATTCTCTATTTTTCTATTTTTGTCATTCTACAATAAGGTCAAAACAGATGATATGAATGCTGATGAGAATGTGGAGTAATCAGAATTCTGAATATGGTGATATCCTGTCACAGTTGGCTGATAAAGTTGAAAACTTTGTATGTGATAGTTTGCAAACTCTATATCCTATTTGGTGAAGTGTCTGTTCAAGTTTTCACCCATCTTTTAGTTAGGTTATCTGTTTTCTTAATGTTGAGTTTTGAGTGTTTTTAATATATTCTGAATACAAGTCCTTTCTCATTCAAATCACAAGTAATTTGAAAATATTTCCTCCCAATTTTTAGCTAGTCTTTTTATTCTTGTAACAGTGTTTTTCACAGAAAAAAAAAGTTTTAAGTTTCATTGCAGCTCACTCTTTTGTCAATCAGGTTTTTGGTGTCATGCCTAACCCCAGGTCATGAAGATTGTATCCTATGTTTTCATTTTAAAGTTTTATGCTTTACATTTAGACCTGTGATCCATTTTGAGTTAACATTTGTATAAGATGTGAAGTTTATATCAAGGCTTGTTTTTCTTGTGTATGAATATACAGTTTTCTGTTTATTGAAATGGCTATTCCTTTGTGTTAGAATTGGCTTTGTACCTTTGTCCAAACTCATTTGGCTATAATTGTGTGGGTGTATTTCTGGACTTTATTCTCTGTTGACCTATCATTTGCCAATACTCTATCTATCCCTTGCGAATACCACAATATCTTTGTAGCTGTATAGTTTTAATACAGCTTTAATATAGTTTAATACTTAGTAGCTGTAGCTTTATAGTTAAGTTGTAAAATTAGGTGGTGTTATTTCTGCAACCTTATTCTTCTTTTTCAAATTTTTTTATACCATAATTCCCTTGTCTTCCCACATAAATTTTAGAATCACATTGTTTATATCATCAAAAACTCTTCCTGAGATCTTGGTTGGAATTGCATTAAATTTATAGACCTACTTAGGGAGAACTGACATGTATATTATGTTGAATCTTTCAGTCCATATGTGTGGTTTCTCTTTCCATTTATTTAGGTTTTTGTTGATTTCTTTTATCATCCTTTAGTAATTTTCATCATGTCAATCCTGTGTATATTTTATTAGGTTTATACTTAACTTTTCACTTGTTCGGAGTTCCTATAAATGGTATTAAAAAATTTCAGTAGCCAACTATTATTGCTACTATAGAGAAATATAATTGATTTTTGTGAGTTGATCTTGTATGCCACACCTTTGCTAAACTCACTCGTTGTAGGAAGGTTTAGTTGTTTTGTTTTATTTTGGTGGTAGACTTTTAATCATAGACAATCATGTTTCCTCCAAAAAGAACAGTTTTGTTTCTTCCTTTATAATTTGCATTTCTTTTATTTCATCTTCTTTCCTATTGCACTGATACAACTTGCAGTACAACACTGAATATGAGAGTTGAGAGTGAACATCCAGCCTTGTTTCTGACATCAGGGAGAAAATATTCAGACTTTCCCATTAAGTACAATGTTACCTGTAGTTTTCTGTAGATATTTTTTATCAAACTGAGGAAGTTTCCTTCTATTCCTAGGCTACTGAGAATTTTTATCATGAGGAGGTGTTGGATTGTGTCAAATTTTTTTCTGCATCAGTTTGTATGATCATGTAGTTTTTCTTCTTTAGGCTGTTAATATAATGAATTACATAGATTGATTTTCAAACATTAAAATAGCCCTATGTTCTCTGAAGGCAATTTGGTGGCAGTACGATATTCTTTTTACACATAGCTGGATTCCTTGGTAATATTTTATTGAAGATTTTTGCTTCTATACTCATGAGTGATACCCTGTATTGATCTGAATTTTTTTTTTATTCTCTTGGTTTGGGTTTCATATTGGTTAATGAAGCTTCACAAAATAAGTTGGGAATTTTTCCTTCTACATCATTTTTTATTTTATATATTTATTTTAATTTTTAATATTTTATTTTATTTTTCCATTACCATTTATTCCCCTCTTATCTTGTAGAAGTGATTTATAGAATTGGTGTTATTTCTTCTTTGATTATTTAGTAGAATTTGCAAGCTAAATTATCTGTGCCTGTCAATTTAATTTTTAGAAAAATTTAAACTACAATTCAATTTTCTTAATAGTTTTATAGGAATATTTGGGTTACCTCTGTCATATTGGGTGAGTTTTAGTAGTTTGTGGTTTTCTAGAAATTGGGCATTTTATCTATGCTGTCAAATTTATGTGTGTATATTTGTTTATGTTATTCTCTATCATTTTAACATCTGCAGTCTTTGTAGTGACATGCTCTTTCAGTTCTGATATTGGTGATGTGTTCTTTTTTGGTTGGTCCTGCTAGAAATTTATTGTTATTGATCTTTTCAAAGATACAACTTTTTTAACTGATTTTTTCCTACTGTTTATCTGTGATTTTCATCAATTTTTGCCTGGATCTTTCTTAATTTCTCCCTTCTTCTTACGTTGGGCTTATTTTGCTCTTCTTTCTCTAGTTTCTTAAATAGTAAGCTTAAGTTATTGATCTGATACTTTTCCCTATTTCTAATATAAGAATTCAATATTATAAATCTCCCTCTAAGTAGTATGTTAGTTGCACACTTTGATATCATATTTTTATTTCTGTAGTTTTCAAGTCAAATTTTCCTGGAGACTTCCTATTTGATCCATGCTTATTCAGAAGTGTGTTGTTTCATTTCCAAGTGTTTGGAGTTTCCCATTACCTTTCTGTTATTCCAGTCTAGTTCCATTATGTTTGAAGAACATGCTTTTAGCTAGGGAAGGAAGATGCCCGTTTCTGATCAAAAACCATACATTTTTTATGTCAATTTCATGAGCACTTCTTGCCCATGATGACAATTAAAATATTTTATTTTATTTTTATTATTTTTTAAATATTAAATTTTATTTAGTTACTTTTCAAGTACATTTTTTTTCTCTTCCCCCCCCCCCCCGCCCGGTCTCCCCCCTCCCTCCCATTCCTCCCCCCCCCAGTCCTCATCTCTGTGTCATTCATACTTGTTCATCAAAATCCCTCCCTCTTTTTCCCCTTAAGTTCCCTTCCCTCTCCCCTCTGGTCGCTGCCCACTTGTTCTCTATTTCAGCATCTTTGTTTTTATTCTGTTTGCTTGTTTG